AGCGGTTATCTGACATGTATAATAATTGAGATTTTATTTAGCTTTTTGTTAGCAGCTTCAAAAAAATTCAAAGTTTTCGATTTATGCAGTGCTTTCAGCCCATACCGTATACATTTTCATCTCAGACCGTTTGTCATGCTTCCAGCTATTCCAGCCAATTGTGAGAGGGAAAGTTGAAAAGTCTTATTCTCTTTTTTTTGAAGTCTAGCATATAAACGGACCTAAGTATTAGTTTTTTTTTTTCAAATTTTTCCTTTGAGAAATTTTTACTTGGTAAAATAATGTTAATTTGCATTTTCTTAGCATCTCACCAGCTATGCGCGCGTCGTATCAGCCCTGAGCAGGGCCCGGCACGCGTTGGTTTGAAGCGTTTCCGGAAACGAAGTCCCCCATGACTTCGCAAAAATTTACGAAGTCCCTCTTGACGTAAAAATCAGTAGGGAAACCCTTAATTAGTCAAAATAATATTAAAAAATCGAAAAAAGCGCATTTTGAGGTAACTAATACAACAAAAAAAGCAAAAAGAAAACATTTCGAGTTGATTAAAGGCTCTGTCATTGGGTAGTGTACCATTTTAGCGCTCAGAATGTCGAGAACTTCCTAGGCCAACCAAATCTGTGGCCTCAACAATCTGGCAGTGCGTTTTTCGCCACATAGTTCAAAGGACACCGCGTGTGATTGGGGCGCAATATCTATCAAGGCGTATAGATTTGCACTACTTTTGGCTCAAAAGAAGAGGAGAGGCAATAGTTTGATTCGCTCTCTTCACTATATAATAGATTTTTGAGCGTTTTAATCGTCCAAATCAAAAAGGTCCAAAACTTATGTGAACTCTCCGAAATTTATGCTCCGAACCAACCCAGTTGGTTCGGTGGTTGGTCTAGAAACCAACAAATCCGGAACGGGTATTCAGGCACATAAGTTTTGGGAACTTTTTACATAACATAGTTTGGAGTAATATTGTATACTCATAGCCCAAATTCGGAGCCATGTGATTGTTTGTGCGCTGTAAACAAGCCATTTGTTTGTTTGAGTCTTGCATTTGAAATTCGCGCGCTTACGAAAGAACACGTTCAACTCGTGAAACCTGACGTGTTCGTCGTGTTTTTAGCGCTTCCTCCAGGACCTGATAAAAACGATGTCCCCGTTGCTTCTAACTCCAAAAACGAAGTCCAGTTTGACCCCAAACCATCGGTGCCGGGCCCTGGCCCTGAGGTCACTGATTCTTTAGTTTGCCAATATTTGGGCAAATCTCTTGTTTCAAACATGTTATAACTTGCTGAAATATGATTCTCATAGCGTAACTGCCCAATCTGCATTTTAATTTATTTACAAAACTCGCTTGCACTCTTACTATTGAATTTTGGATCTTCCTGTACATTCCTGTCAATTGAGGCGCTCCAAAGTCACATTTTCCACGCAGGACTCTATATCATATTCATTCTTTTCGTATTTAGGGCGGGTTGTTTATCTGGAAATAGGATAATAGTCGTATATTCAATTTACGACAATAGCAGATTCTTTCTTCTTTAGTAATACATACCGTGCTCAAAAAACCAAAAGGGTGACCCACTTCTACGCATGAAAGCGCGTTGTACTATTCCATTCTTCTTCTCTATACTACTGTCCTCCATTCCAATCTATACGTCTGTCGTTATGCGAGGTTTTGACAGAAGACAAATCTGAACTGGCACAGTTATGTACATAAATCATCACTAAAGTACGCATGTTCTAGTTATTCCGTATCTCATTTCCACCCCCAGCGACGATACGCTCTCTTCCAGTAGTAATCCTCTTCAATTTCCAATGAACGTTAAATCTCTCTCATCGAAAAGCTTTTCTCTTCGTGATTCGAGTGCTTTTTCTTTCATGTTTTCCATCTGGATTAATGACTTGATGATTGTTTGATTAGAGGAGTTTCAGTGTTTTATTGGGGACGAAATGTTTGGCTTGGAGAGTTTCAGTGTTTCATTGAACAAAACGCTCACAGCAGCCCAGCACGAAAATAGAACTACAAAAATTTAAAATTTAATTTTCTACATTTGTCGAGATTTGCTCTGTTTGTTTCCTATGTACTGAAAAAAGGTAGTTTATCAAAATTTGCGAAACTGTAGAGCTATACTTTATGTTGTTATTTAAATTTCAAATTTTGTTTTTAGTGCGTAAGAAGAGGGACCGCTTTACGTGCCGCGCCGCATTGGGGTGCGGCGCGGCAGGTAGATCACACTTGGTATAAGCCATTGCTTCGCAAACTACGCAGTACCCGGAAAGAGCATAAATAACTTTCTTAAACCCTTCCTTTGGGCGTGAACCATAAGCATGACTATTATGGAAGTTGTGAGAGTCACAAATATATGACGCACCGCATCCGCAACGCGACAATGAGATTTTCCGAGATATATTTCGAGACATTAAATTTTAAGTTTCTCAGTCACATGCGGATTAATTCATTGATATCACACAACCCCACGGTAGCGCGCCAATGTCAAGAGTTTGCACCATATATGATGACCATGGCCTGTCGCGACGCAACTCACTGCAGCGCGGATGTTGTAGAACTCGCCATTGCAAAAAATTCCAGACTTCCAGACGCGCTTTTCCAGACTCCACCTATACTGGTAGTTTTCGTAAAGTATTACATAGTCGACCGATGGCAAGAGTTCGCGCAGAATATAGTGACCATTGCCTGCCGCTAAGCAACTCACTGCGGCGCGGTCAAAGTTGCAGAGACCGTTATTGTTACTGGAATAGTTTCTAATTTTCCGTCTTGGTTAATGTATGGTAGGAAGCAAGTAAATATTTTGGATTTTGCACAGTTTTTTCTCATTTTCTTCCTTTTTGTACTTTCTTGCGCGGAAAAAATGCTAATTTCACACAAAAATGGCAAACATCTCATAAGCAATGTCCCTTTCTAGTGGAACCTACAAACTTTTGCCTCTACCCATCAGATTCCTAGCCTCCCCTCTCTCTTTCTATCACATTGGCATTAACGTTAAGTACATGCGCGGCTGCTGCTAGTGTTAATGCATGAGAGAACAGCACGCGCGACGGTATTCTGAGCTGGGAACACCGGCAAAAGACTGGTTCTCTTCCTCACTCCCACATACAACACCTAGTTGTTGTGCGGTGGTGTTATTTTGGATGGTGTGATGTGGCTGTAACCAGCATTAAGTCGAATCGACAACTGTTACTTCTCAGGTATAGTTTTCTTAGAAAGAATTTTGCTTTATTCGAGACTAAAGCGAAACTTGGAAAATTCCTAATCACAGTTAACCACTTTTTGCACCTTATAGGTCCTAAAGTCACTTTTGTATCCGTACATTAATAAGTATAAACAGTACAAGAGGTTAAACCTTAATGCCTAAACGTTTTCGTGCCAGCCTATTATGGATATTCGTAAAATTTCCTCTCAGGCTTTTACTGAAATGTAAGTGAAGCGGTAGCGTGCTGAAAAAGGAATAAAATACTTTTTGTGCAAATTACTCTCAGTCTAATATCCTTGAGAAATGACAATTTTCGAGTTGTTCCATGTTTTTTAATTTATGAGAAATCAGTTTTCAAAAATTATTTACATATATATTCATGTGTATGTTCGAAAAACAAGCTATATTTTTTTGATTTTTGTTATATTTATATCATATATGTTATACTCTATGAATTGTCTAATAGAAACTTTTGGATAAAATAACTAATCTTAGTGAATGTGATCATAATTTTTTCTTCGAACGTTTTCCTTGTAAATTCCCCATTATTACTTTTCCTTCAATGTTTCTTCTATTCATTCCATGAAGTTTTTTCTTTTACATCATAGGCATACTTTATATAAAAACTTTTATGTCTTAACCGTAGCAGCGCTGCATAGGGGTTTTTCTTCAGCAGGGAAGTAACCTTACATCATCAAATAAGCTTGATTAGAGCAGCAGTGAGGAAACTTCCTGCAACAGTTTTTTCATTCTCTTCTCGAAAGTAATTTATACTTTTGATTGCCTACAAAGGGACAACAAGTATCATTTATGAGAATTCTAATCATGCTACGCTTTGTATCTTGTGCAGTAAATGTATCTCCTCGAAATCATCAAAAAAAAAGACTCTGAAAGATGCCTATTCTACTCTGATTTACATCTCATTTTCTTAGCAAAGTGGTCCTACGTTTTCTTTTATGAAAAGACGGAGATCTGGAAGAACTCAAAGGTCAAGCTCTCTTTGCCTCGCCATCTCATGTGCTCGGAACTTCGATTCTAAAAAATCTCTTTTTTGCTAAGTATATTTCCTCCCACAAAGCCGATTAGATCGCGCTTGGTATCCATAGTTTTTCTTTCAGATTAGCTCTACAGGACATAGCTGCATGGAGAGCTCAGAATGGGTATAGTCCTGAATTGGCGATTTGTTTTTGAGTTAACCTTGACTAGGCAACATTTTGGTCATTCTGCAAGATTAGAATACAGATAATATGTATGTGAAAATATAACAAGAATTCTTTCTGCATGGCTTCCTTGGTGTGGAATGACAGAGACGCAGACTATGAGCGGCCAACCCCTACAACTCGTGGGTCCTGCAGCGATTTGCTATCCAGCCGCAGTTCACATCGGGGCGGTCGTGCAGAAGGTCATCTCCCGGTTTATTATTATGAACAAGTACTATGGCATAAATGGGAGGACAAACAAGATAAAAGCCGATTACTCGCGCTATCGTCTTTTATCTATTTTCACTATTTTTTTTTATTTCTCGATAAGGGGAGTTAGATTTGAGTTTGCATGCATGCCACAATCTTATATCTATAGTCTGCGAGTATGTACTCAATTTTAGAAAATCCGCTAAAAAGGTTTTGCTTTTGAAAGATACATGTGGGAAAAATCAAATTTTATGTTATGAATTTTTTTATCAAATGCCGCCTGCAATGTTTTTATCCATGGTTTCCTTCTTGTATATTTCCCACACCCCATTTGTTTCTGTTCGTTTGAATAGCTACTTATCTCAGAACCTCAATCATGTTATTCCAGATGATGTGGACATCGTCTAAAGAGGATTCACTAAATATTCGTGTTGAAAAAGGTACAAAACCAAAACTTAAATTAAGTGAGGATAAAAGAGATGTGCAGGTAAGTCACTACACTCAATCTCGTCAGATTTCGACGCTCTTGTGCAGTTGCGGACATTGTGCATACCGTAATCTTTAGGTTGCTGTACCACTAGACACATTTGTAAATTATCCGCTACAGCGTGTCGAACTTCACGGCGGGTACTATTTGGTACTACAACGTCTACAGCAACAATATAAAATTACTGTACAGCATGGAGTAAGTTTTATGTGCATTTGCGTAAAATCTTCAGTAGTCCGTAGTGCCTTCACCTTCATTTGCAATTTTCATTAGCAGTACTGTTGAGCAAATTTTTTATTCTTTCGGTAGCAAGTAATTTTGGTATATCAATCCCAGCAGCCATATCAAAAATGGGCGTGGCTTGCTCAAAAGGCGGGCATGACCTACCCGAAGTGGGCGTGGTCATTGTTGAGCAAAATACCATCTCACTTTTGGTGTATTTTTCTTTGGTCTGTGAGGCAGAGCAATTATGTTAAAAATGGGCGTGGTTTGCTCAGAAAGTGGGCGTGGCCTGTCCAAAAATGGGCGTGGCATGCTAATCCCATCAAATGTTATTTTCAGCACGAACGGAAACCGGAGTTCGTTGTCTACGCGTCTGCACTATCACATGAAAAAGACATCAAGACGCAAGTAAAAGAAATGAATTCAAGAATTCATCAGGTATGCCAAAACTGTAACTTACCGTAATCTACAGTAATCTCGATTCTGTTCAAGATTGGAATCGCTGGCCCAAATTTGGATGTGTTTGGAGCGTTACGTGGCGCTCGTCTTACACTTGAGGCTACTGTAGGAACAATGCATGTGAATGCAAAAATCACAGCGGATAGGTTGTCATTACACGGTCAGAGCATTGTCGTATCATCGGAAGCGCTTATCAGTACGGATAAATTCATGGTAACGAAGTCTTTCATAAAAACGAATTTTCTAAAAATTCCGGAAATTTCAGGTTATTGGACGTAAATTACAGTTGGACGGTAGATGTTTTCCGAAAGAAACATCGGAAAATCGTCGAATGTCTGTAAAATTTGACTGTAGTCTTGTGCATGTTGGTGTCGACGGCTGTATTGGAGAGTCGAACGATAAGGACTCGATGAAGTCGACCAAGGTATAGTTCAGTAAATTTTACGGTTGATTTGGTGCATCTGCGGTAAAGACAACACTTGCGCGTAAACGCTGCAATTAGAGTTGTTTGTGGTGCAATTAGAGTTGCAGCGGCGCCACCCCGTTCCAGAGACGTGGTAGCATCTCGCTGCAGCTGAGCATGCCTAGTTATTGATCGATTTTGATCGACAGCACATTTCCGGCACCGCTTTGGAACGGCGCTGGTACGGCGCTGGTACGGGAAACTCTGAATAAATTTGAATTTTTGACTCTGTAGCCATTTTTGACGGGCAGATATTGTTGGCAAAGTAGATAAACCGCCGACTATCGAAATACATTCTTTTTCCGAAAACTCCAAGTATATTCGGTTTTTGCAGAGAATCCAACTAGCACAAATTACTGCTGAGGCTCTAAGCCTTACCGTAACGGGTTCTTTGGCCAACTATGGTAAAATCCTGGCCACTGAAAGGATTGAACTCCTTGTGGGCGAAAATCTGCTCTCGCTCTCGGATGGTACATTGGATAGCGCAGGAAGAGGTTGGTGTTCTCCCACGCAAGCCTTAACGTACATCTACCGTAACCCAACAGTACGGCATGGGGTCCCGTCTGGAGTGATGTGTAAGTCATGTGATTTTAGGATACGATGCTCTAAAACGAATTCGAGGAGTACGAAAACTAACCGAATGTACGCCAAGTTCGAATAGCATGCATTCAGCCATCAGTACGCAAAATGCTGATGCTGTAGCAAATTTGATTGAGAAAGGAGTTGATGTAAACGATAAGGTAAGCCTATTTACAGTCCGTCTCACTGCAGCGTCCCGTTTGCGCGTCACGCGTACGTAGCGCGACCGCCTCGCTTATAGAGCCTCGATCAGGCTGCCATACGCCAGCGAACGCGCGCAGGTACACGCGTTGCGGGTGCGCCGATCGATTGGGAACACTGCAGTTAGAGCGATCATGATCTTCCTCTTTATAAAAATCTTTTCTTTTCAGGTCCAATCCAAGCGTCTGACCCTGCGTCAAGCTGCTATCATGCAGTATCGGGAGAAGCGCGAACAATCCACTCTAAACCGCGTCCGGGAAAGAATCACCTTGATCAACGCTTTGCTAGCAGTTCATGATTGGAGACGTGGTTCAATTCAGTCAAAGGCGATCCGTGCTGTTATCAACAAAAATTGCGACGATTGCGCTCAGTTCAACGCGCGGGAACTTCAAATCAAGGTCAGTAAGGGTTATTCATCGCACGCAAAGATAGGGCGCAAGTGCGGACGCCGCCTGCGTCTCTGTCTCTTCACTTTTACCGTCTGCGTCTCTTCCATGCACAAACTATCTTATCCGGATGCAACAATGTTCAGTCTCTGCGTGCGATAAATCGCTTATACCTCGTACCGTTTGGTTACCGTATCCTCACGTAAGATTTGCAGGTTGGAGGTTCCGCCATTGTTGAGACGGATTCTATCTGGAGTAGTACGTATGTAGAATTGGACGCATGGGCTGCAGTAACCATCTGTGGTCAAGTCAAATTTACGTCGTTAGTTCTAACAGCTGGAAAAGCTGTCACAACGACAGCTGATGCCATTGTGGCGCTGGAAATGTTCGGAAGACTGAATTGTGGAAGGTAATTGATAAAATCAATAATCGATTTATTTCCCAGTTCTTCTCTAATGATGTATTGTTTAGCTTCTCTTGCGATGGAATATGGACCGTAGGCGAGAATTTTGTGCTGGAATCGCGTGAAGACGTTCATTTCGGCATACATTCGTATATAGAAACCGAAAAAGTTTGTTTGCGCATTTTCTCTAAAGAAATCAAGTTATGGAAATGATGTTATCATAGATGGAAATGGTGTCTGGATCCAGTTGCAATGTCGATGGATCATGGCAAATTGGAACTTGCTGGGCTTTGATTGAAGCGAAATTGACGATTGGGGCATCAGCAAAGCTGTTTGTTGAAGAGTCGGCTACTATAGGGGCATTGGGGTGAGAAATTAACTACTGTATATAAGAAGGCCTTTTTCTCTTCCCCCCCCCCCCCACTCCACATCCCTCAAGACCGTGTGACTACAATTAGTAACTCGTTTTTGCTTGCAAGTAATCAACATAATTTACTTATATTTCGGGTATTTTAGATTCTCTCTGCAGAAATTTCTTTGGGAATCTTTGGGTGATGGGCGGTTGGGGGGGGGGGAGGTGGAAGTCAAGAATTTGTGTGTAGGAGTTGTGGCATACTGTAATACGTAACGTCTTCCTTATAAAATCATTGGCGAATCTGGTAGAGACTAACGAAACCCAAAAATGGGCGTAGTTAAAGGCTCAAGCACAATTGGTGTTTTCTCCTCACCGCCAAAGTTTGGAAATGGGCGTGGTTGGGGGGAGGGGGTCAGAAATTTTTGGAAAAAAATGTTAAATAGATCTGTTGTCTTCTAGACTAATGTGTCATGGATTCTTCAACATCACTGAAGTCTGTGATCTACAACTAAAGGACTCGGCACACTTTTTCCACTGCTCAAAGCTAGAATGTCATACTCTGAAGCTTGCTTGTGAATTGCACTGCACGCTAGGTGGATTATGGATTGCTGATAGCATGAATGTAAGTTCAATTTCATCTATAGATACGATTCACGAGACTTATTTAGGTCTATGTACGTCATGACCTTATTACGACATCTACGGGCAAGGCGGCTGTCTTTACCACCGCTAATCTAACGGTCGGATCGTTCAGAAATGATGCACTTTGGCAGGTAAGGATAAACCTTCCCGTGCTCAGGCTGCGTTGTATTTGCTCGTGCCAGCGCCGTGCCAGCAATTGCCTAAACATCGATTGATCAATAAGGGACAAGTAAATTGTTATTTAACATGGCACTAGCACTGTGGTGGCATGGCGGTGGAACGGCACTGGCACGCTCTGGCACACTTTAAATGCTCCTCAAAAACCGTAGCTCTTTCCTTCAGGTAGAAAAAGATTGTCATATCATCGTTGGATGCATGGAACAATCCGAAGACGGCACAATCTTTGTCAAGCAGACTTTGGAAATGCATATCCATCGCGATTCTGTCGGTTGCTTCAGTGGAAAAATCGTTTGTAGCCATCTGGACATGAGGTATGCATATTTTTCGACACTGTAGACCTTCAATCGATTATCGATTGATTTAGATGCCTCCGACGTTGTCAATATGACGGTTACCTGAAAGCCAATGAGGTAGAGGTCTACTTACCCTATATGGACGAATCGCAATGGATTGTAACTGGCCAAGTCGACATACTCGTCTCACCCCTGACCCTCAAAGGAAACAGCTCTTTCTACAACATTGCTCCCACCACTCCCCATCCATTCCCAGCATTTATACTCGACGGACGATTGAACGCTCACGCCATCATCGCTCCGTTCCTGGCTGTGGAACTCTCCCCAGAATCGATAATAAGGCTGCGAGGAATTGTTTCTTTCACTCCAGCTGTCGACTTCAACATTTTAGTCTCTGCTGGAGCTTTAGCCACAGGAAGGAACTGTTCCCTGCTCTCTGTGGGTGATAGCCCTAGAGCTGAGGGAATAATCTGCGCTTCGACATTCTTCCACCAGGGACAAATCCGATTCCAAGCCGAAGATGTGCATATTCTGACGGGAGCCCTAGTCCATAAAGGAAGATTGACGAACTGCGAGCATAAGCAGAACCATGTGAAGAATTGTCATATAGTCGTGGAAGAATTGTTCCTTAATGAGGGGACCCTTGCCTGCAATGCTCTAAATATCACTGGAGATGGAGTGCTAGAAAACAAGAACAGAATTTTCGCTGTCGAGTCGATGGACATTCGTTTGAATAATTTCCATAACGATGATGGGCTGATGGAATCGAAGAATCACATCAAACTGCTTTCTGCGACAAGGGAATGGACCAAATTGGGCGGGTCTATCAAAGCCAAAAAAGGTTTTGATTTGTACGCTAACAAACTGGACATGGCCTTGAATGATGTGCATAAACTGATGAATGAAAAGAAGCTATCGTTTTCGGCTAGAAGTGATCTGATCATCTCAACTGACATCTGTGATGAGATCAAGGAATTCGCTGTGGGATGTGCTGCTCAGAATACGGTTTCTATCAATGCTTGCATGGATTTGGATCGACTAGAGGTGCTCCTTGGTGGGGACCACAGTAACCTAGAGCCAGTTATGTTCAAGGTCACTGATAAGGCTGATATAAATATCAATACCCTGGTTATCAATGGAACCGCTACCCAGCTGGTTATAGTTTTGGATGGCGTGCTGAAATGTGGTCGAGTAAAAATTGCCGAGACCTTTAAACATGTTACCATCTCTGGACAAGGAAGTCTCGACAGCCGAATCATAGCCGCTGAGGGGTCGAACCTAAGCTTTGGCGTTTATCAAATCTTCCGGACCAACGAAATCTTCTGCCAAAACGTCCATGTCGAAAAGGACTCTCTTTTACGGCTAAAACCCTGCGAGGACAGTGATGCTACGGCCATTTCTTGTGAGAAAATCCTTATCGAGGGTACGGTATTCGTCGAGAATAAGCTGCTCCTCGTCTCGAAAAAGACCGACACTTGTGATCTACAGATTCGTGGCCCAATTATCGGTACAGCCCCAGAAAGTGAAGTAAGCATCGAGAGCACAAGAGTTTCCATCTTTGGCCAGGTGGCAAATCTGAAATTCTTGGAAATTTACGCCCGGGACACGATGCACTTCTCCATGGCTAAGGTTAAGAACATCAAGACTGTATCTATTGACTGTGGAGAACTCGTCTTGAATGCTGATGTGGACAGCTGCTCTGAATTCTTGGCCAAAGCTGATGCGGCAAATCTGTCTGGGACCTGCTCGAACAGTGGAACAAGTGGTGTGCTGTCACTTTGCTGCAATTCTTTGCAGTCCAGCATGGATGTGAAGAACATGGCTAAACTTCAACTTGTCTGCAAGAGGGCAGCCGTCATTCGAGGAGCCATTCAGACTGTGAAAGATGTTGAAATCGACGCGAAATGGATCAACAACTACGCACATTTGCAGAATTGTGTTGACGTCAAGTTGGTGGCTTGGTCAATAAATTGTGCTGGCTCTTCTGCTGCCACCCGAATGCAGATCACAGCTCTGGCTATCACCCTGGTTAATGGAGCCCTGAATGCTGATGTGCTAAATATCACAGCTCCATTTGTTATCGCAGTCCAGCACTCGTCTTCCATCACCGCTAGAAAACTCGAAATCAACTCACTCTGCCTCTGTACAAAGCAAAACCTGGACTTAAATGGAACTAACTACCTTTGGCTCACTTTTGAAGAACTCGTGTACAAACCGAAACTTACCCCTACCCAGTCAACCAACTGGAAAGATACCGCCGCTATGATGAAAGATCGATTCAGCAGCCCGACCATCGATGTGGATGAAGTGATTGTGGGACTAAAGTACCTCAGTGAACTTAATGTCACTAAGGTCGAGCTGGACCTGGATAATGTGATCTACGAAGAGCTTTGTAAGATGGCCCAGAGGTTCGACAGCAGCCCGATCAGCCTGTTCAACACTTCCGATTTGGTGGCGCTTATTCACAGTGGCCGTAACGCTTTTGCTGTGTCAACGGTGGAGAAGAGCGAGGAGAATGGAAAGAAAAAGAAGATAAAAGGTTACGGTAAGGAATTCATGAATAGGCGGACCATCGCGCGCAAAGACTGGCTATTGCGTCTAAACAAGATAGTAGGCATTTAGAAGGGAGAGCAGACAGTGAGAGGGAAGAGAGTAAGCGCTTGTTTGAGGAGACGCAGACAGCGTAAGCCGCATGTCTCTGCGTGTGATGAATCGCCTATACCGTTTGGTGAACATTCTTAATCTCAAACATTCTAGGAAGCTCCCTTTACGAGGGTTTGGTCCAGTTCAAAGCAGCCAAATACATGAAAGAGTCACGAGGGTCTTCTGACACTGATGTTGGTTACGTCAGTAGGTCTTCCAGCGAAGAACTCGATCGATCTAGGTAAAATCAAGCACATCTACCTTTCCCGGAATACTAGCCAAGTTAATTTAGGTCGCCTCGATCTCCAGAAGTGCACAACTGTAGCTTGTTTGCGGATACACATTTTAGCGAAATAGTAGAAAAACTGGAGAATCCAACAATTAGCGATGTGACCATCGAAGAGCTGAATGCTTCATTGTTGGAGTAAGTTTATTGCAGAGTTTCCTATGGTTGGTAGGAAAAAGGCGGCACTTGGCAATAAATAAAATAATCTCATAAATCCTTTTCAAATTCAAATTATCTCCTAAAAAATTTCCGGGGGCTTTTGTTGTCGTCAGGGTGAGAAGTATGCTATGAATCACGAATGGCTAATTGCTAATTTGTGCAAAAAAATTAGTTGTTAGTTAGCGTTATTAAGCTTAATTTGTTACTATTATTAAGCTGTAACATTTAGATTTGAAACAATGATATTTATTTTGTGTGAAGAGAAAAAGACAGGGTAAAAATTAAGCTCGATAGATCGTTGTCTAAAATTGTTTTGAAAAATAAAACGGGAAGGAAAAGAGGAAGAATAAAGAGTGCTGCGCATTCTCTGACCAATTCCATATTTGTTATAGAAAAAATTCTTTGGAGATTGCAATAATTTAATCTAATGCTCCCACCCACTCTTTTCCTTTTCAGACAAGAGGAGCTGGCCGAGTTTGAGCTTTTGGAACAGGAGATCGAGGACAGCGAGGACGGTCTTGTCAGGACCGACTACATAGTTTGTCATGATGAGCGAATTCAGTTGGCGAGGTGAGCTCATGACATGCGTCCTTGAGATTTTCTTCGCAGAAATTTTTTTAAAGAAAAAGCTGGAGACATTCTTCCCCGTAACAAAAAAGCTGACGTCGGGTGCGAAAATCGGGAAAAATCTATTTTCAAGCTGAAGCAAAACGGTATGCTTTTTGAGGTTGCGACAGCAAGTTTTCACCTCGCAACAACCTCGACCACGTCCGCAATTTCCAATTGCAAGGATTCCATCATCAAATGATTTGGTTATGAAGCGAATGCAGGTTTGATCATTGAATACCACGAATTTGCGAAGCCCATTGTGACAAATCTCAAATTTGAGGTAAAAGCGACTCTATCAAATCTCGATTTGCGATCCTTTGGAAGTGAAACATCGTTGATATCTCTGGATTTCTCGGCTCCAGGTGATATCGGATCGCCAATGCATTTTGCTGCAAATCCTTTTCAGAGGTAATCCGCTTTTGACAGAAAAGTTATTCGTAGTTTAATGGTGAGATTGCACACTGCGCGCGACATCTCACGACTTGTTGTTGGAAAATCAATAAAAATGATTTGATGGGAAAAACTGTGGAAAATGATTAGTTGCAATTGCTCACCTATTTGCGCACGAAAAGAGAAGAGTACATAACCTTTAATTCAAGTGGCTCGTCGGCTGGAAGGCGGGGCTTTCTGACCTGGTTAAGGGCGATCGCGCCCGCGGCGCAGTCTGCGTTTCTCTCGCGCGCGTGCTCTCTGGTAATTGTCTAGCCTTAATTAGGTCACGAAGCTCCGCCTTCTAGCAGCCAAACCACTTGAATCAAAAGGTACAGAGTCTCGAAATCCGCAGCTTGTCAGCACATGAGTCGTGAAATACCGCGCAGGTTGTGCAATACTAGATTAATTTACGTATGTGACTGTGCAGCGTATTTCAATCTGTCTGTTTTAGGTCACGTATCCCCCGAGGATCATTTCGAACTCCACAAAAGGCTTTGCCAATATAAGCTTTGTACAGCATGTACATTCCCACAGTAGGAAAGTAGGAAAGGACCGAAGCTGTCTACAACCAGCTTTCTACACATAGAAGCTTGTTTTGTGCAGCTAAAAAAGGATAATTGTTAGTCGAGTAATCTTGTGGGGGATATCTTGGCTTGTGGAAAATGTCCAGTCAGTCGGGTGTGTTTGGTGCCGAAGATTCCAGAAAAATGTTGTCGTCGTACTAACACTTTTTCAGGAACTCTCAGTTTGATGATCTTAGCATTTTGTTTATTGATTGTTATTGAGCAATCTGTACTGTATACTTATAAAAATCACTTCTCATTTTTTAAATCAAGATCTGATGTGCTTCTAGCGCCAGCATGTGGACTAATGCTTGAAGCTCACATATACACATATATACACACATACACACCACATACCTATGTCACTCGCTTACTTACACACACATGCAAACTCGTCCATGACACAATTTTTACTCGCACTAATCTCGTACTCTATCGATTGCAATCATATCGACGCTGTACCGATGTGTGTTCGAGTCAGAGCAGTTGTCAGTTTTCAGCTACAGCGATACATAATCAGTCACACTTATCCGTATCCGGTAATAGTCCGGGCAGCGAATCCATTTTGCTCATTCGACAAATGACGTGAACAACAATTAACAACATGTGGCAGTTGTCCAAAGTTTCCTTGTGCATGAATGCATACACACACATACGCACACATGCACACTATTGTTGCCTTTTTCGCATGGTTTTGTACATACCGTTTAGTTGATTGGTTGTTATTGTTGTGCTACGGGTTGTAATAATAAATATTTCACAATTTTTTGAGTTCAAAATTATTGCTTAAAAGGATGATCAACGAGAAAGCTACAAATCGGACCTTCATTGAAGCCGACAGGATTGAAGAGTTTATATCAGACCGTCAGGCAGTGTCCAGGTAATTTAGATAGGGAAGGAACCCAAGACGCTGTGGCGGTTTTGAAGCAAATACTGTAATGCAAATTTGACATCTATACCTGCTGTGAGGTTTCCTAGAAGAAGTCATGAGTGTGAAAAGTTCTAAATTTAGCCAACATGCACCACAACTTCAAAAATTACTTGCTCAAAGCGCACACACTAACCTTTAATTCAACTGGCTTGGCGGCTGGAGGGCGACCTAATTACGATGCATTCTGCGCCTCTCCCGCGCGGGTGCTCTCTGACCATTAATTAGCTTCAATTAGGTCACGAAGCCCCGCCTTCAAGTTGCAAAGCTATTGAAAGTATTTGTTCTCTCAAGCTGATTTCAAATGCACTATGCAAACGAACTTTACCAACGTCACTTTTTCGCTCATAAGTTCTAGAGAACAGCGCAGCAAAATTGGGATGTAGATTTGGAATCATCTCATCAAGACGCATTCAATGACATGCATTTCATTCCATTTCGCTACTGTAACTTAGAATCCCCTTGTATCTCGATTATTATGTGAGTACTCATTGGGAGGGGAGACGTTCAGGAGGCGCGCTTTCTTCAATGGTCACCAGTACAATGGCCCAATTTAGGGCTATGCAAAACTTTTAGAAGTAGCAGACAAAGTTCTCAGTTAACTAGGTACATTGAGCTTACCATCTGCTAGTTTTGATGGGTTTTGGTAAAAATTTGATCGAAATATTTACAAAATTGCTATCAGATACAATACAAGATTTCTGATCTTCTACATTTGCGTCTTGACTCTATTTCAAGATGCGAATGTTGAACAGTCATGCAACGAATTTATATGTATATCAGCGGCGGTCCCAGGTTTTCGGACCGGGGGGGGGCAAAAATTTTTTTCAAATGAAGGCGCGTGGCGTCAGCCACGCACTCCGAAAAATTTTTAGGGGAGATCAAAATTTTTGCGGGCCCCCAACCCCTGAAATCTGGAAAAGGGGGCGTGGCGTCAGCTCCAAAAATTTTTTATATAAGGCTAATTTGATTTTTTCAAAAAAATTTTGAAAATTATTTTAATTAATTACAAAAATAAACAAGTCGTTTGCACATTTTTATAACCCATATAGGTAAGTTTCAAAAATTTCGCGACTCATTCTGAGGGAGGGGTGCCCCTCCCCTCTCGGTCCGTCACTAATGTATATATCTCTTTAGAAATTTGGAAAGCGTCTGAACATTATTGACACAAAAAATGCGCTGTTTGGTGTCCATCTGGTGATAGGAATCGCGACTCTTGACATACACCCGATCGGGAGGTCTTGACTGGGCCCTGCCCTCAGCGGCGCTAAGTATTGTTTAGGGCCGCATGCACTAACATCCCCGCGGGGAGGGGATCGCAGCTCAAAAGAAAGCTTCATATTCTGAAGCTCCAGATATCTGGATTTCACATTGTGTACCCTTCCATAAGTATTCCTACTACACTTCACTATGAACACATTGAACAGGAGCGAGAAGCTGCACAAGCCGCATTTTCCAGCTTTTGTATGATCCCTGATGATCCCCGGCGCTTTTCCTTGAAGACATTTTTCTTTCTCCAGAGTTAACAAAAAGCTTTCAAAGTTGTGCATAATATCTAATCCAACACTGCTTAGCATGTTGCTGATAAGAACAAGTGATGTACCGGAGTCATGAAATTTGCGATGAACCACAGGCCGAAAATTGGAGTTCACCGAAAAATCCGAATTTTCAAAAACTCATTTGTTCTCATCAGTACTATGCTTAGCAATGTTGTCTTAGATAATCAGTACAACTTTGGAAGATTTTCGTCAATTTCAAAGAAAGAAAAATGAGTTTGAAGAAAAGCGCCGGGGATCACCAGAGATCATACAAAAGCTGCAAAATGCGGCTTGTGCAGCTTCTCGCTCCTGTTCAATGTGTTCATAGTGAAGGGTAGTAGGAATACTTACAGATGGGTGCACAATGTGAAATCCAGATATCTGAAGCTTCAGAATATGAAGCTTTCTTTTGAGCTGCGATCCTCTCCCAGCGGGGAGGTTAGTGCATGCGGCCCTTAGGGTAAAAACGAAACAAGTAACTTGAAGGTTTTGGTACTTGAAGTATAAATTTACAACTTTGAAACCAAATCTAATAAAGGTCGTGTACTGTAAAAAATTTATTAGTGGGTCCAAGTCGACAATAGTTTTCGAATTATGTGAGACCAGCAAGCAAGCTGCGATTTCCGGTTTCCCAGTGGTCTAGTCTCCCTCTCAAACGCAGATGTAATATTTTAAGGCTTTTTTGGGCTATTGTGAGAAATTTGTCCAGAAAAGTATGATTATTTTGACTCTCTCTAGCTTCTGTCTTCTCCACAAAACATGAATGATTATTAAACTTTGTCCTTATGACATAACGTTATAGAAAATGAGTGTATAGAGGTAGAATAAACAGACACGTATACAGACATTTAGGGTGTCCCAAAAGTAAGTACACACTTTTCAATCGTTAATATCTCTCTTACCATTATGTCTTTTTCCGCCAATCAAGTACCATCAGTATGGAGCAAATCACCGATCGCTCTTCATTATGATAGGATTACGGTAAGAACTTCAAGCATGTGGAACCACCGTGAAATATGCCAAATGAGAAAATTTTTTCAAAAAATCTGAAAAATTGTGCACTAAGGTTTTCGCACACGCTAATTCCACTACACAACTTTCTACAAGTGTTTTCTGCTTTTTTGACGGTCTAATGACATTTCTGACAAATACTGGGAATTCGGTTATTACGGTTTACGTGGGATAACTTTGGAAAGAAGTATCACAATAAAGTGGAAATTTTATATACGAAATCAGCGGCTTCGTTTACCACAGCACAAGAGTTTGGCTTGTTTGGTTTCATTCCGAGGCAGAATATAGCTTCATTGGCATAAAATCCTTGTCGAAGTTCCTACAGTAATCCTATAGTAATGAAGAGCGATCGGTGATTCGCTCAACACTGTAAACCTAATTTGAAGCCTCCTCTACGAAATGGTGCTTTATTGGCGGAAGAAGACGTTATGTGAAGAGAGATATTAACGGAAAGCGTGTACCTACTTTTGGGACACCCTGTATATCCATAAGAGGCAGTGGCGTACCCAGGATTTCGGGGGGGGGGGCGGCAAAAATTTTTTCACATGAAGGTGCGTGGCGTCAGCCACGCACTCCGAAAAAATTTTGAGGGAGATTCTCAAAATTTTTGCGGGGCCCCCAACCCCTAAAATCTGGAAAAAGGGGGCGTGGCGTAAGCCACGCCCCCGAAAATTTTTTTATAAGGCTAATTTGAATTTTTAAAAAATTTTAAGAATTATTTTAATTGTTCACAAAAATAAACAAGTCACTTGCACATTTTTATAACTCATGTAAGTAACTTTCAAAAATTTCGCGACCCGTTCTCGGGGGAGGGGGGGGGGGGCGCGCCCCCCCTCGGTACGCCACTGATAAGAGGTGATGAGAGTAGTGAAAGATGAGATTACAGTAGGAGGTACATGATATCGAGAATAATGAGGTTACATGGATACGATAGACAAAGAATACAAAACAATGATAGAGGAAAATGAGGGAGAGGGAAAGTGAAAGGCGATTGAATGAGGTGGAGTGCCAGCCGAAGCTAGCGGCAAAAGTGCAAGAACCTCCGAAGGCGGGATTAATATTTTTTCATACTCGCATTAACGCCGTTATGTGCAGTCGCAACCAACACCGGAGTGGTGGTAATTTGCGCTTTTCCTACACAGAAAAGAAATGAACATACTGTTGTGAAAACTTCTTAGAAGATTACTTTTGCTCACTTTCTTAAACACAGCACCACACATAAGAAGAAGCTTCATCCAATCGGTATCGCGTAGCTTACATAGACAAAGTTTCAAAGTGTGCGGCAGTCGATCCGCCGCACACTCACCTATCCTTGAAGGCATCGGTCAATCAGAATGGAGTCGATGAGAATAGTGATGCCTAACAATAGCGGAGTCCCCAACTGTATAAATCCCCAACTCGCGCTGCCAAAATTTGCTTCGGAAAGAGAAAGTTACTTCGGAAATCCTGTGGGTTTTGCAAATCGCCTTGTGGGTTTTGCAAAACGGGGATTGTAGGGATTTTCGCGTATTCTCGATTCGATATTCTGAATCAGGAGCATGAGAAGGCTCCGGAACGACAAAAACATAGCAGCCAAGAATTTGGATGAACGGTGCCTGCGAAGACAGCGTCCAGGCAGATTCTCGACTTCCGTTTTTTGCCTTATTTAAGCCTATTTATGGCGCTGATTTTGTACATGGCACTAAAAATGGATTCTCTCTCAAAAATTACATTTATGGGTTTTTTTGAGAAAACGAGCATTAACAGGTGAACAATATGTGCTCGATTGTGTTTGCCAATTGAAAACGCGTCGAGGACTGAGAAGATTTCGTTCGAAGGGGTTGGCGGTGCAAGGAGGCGTGGCCCTCGAGGCTAGGGCGCCTAGAGCTGTCACATTCCAACGAAAGTAGGCCTGCCAGAGGAGCTTGCTGGCAGGTCGAACACAACGTGTGCGAAGTGGGGAGCACCAATGGGATTTTTTGTGGGAGCGAATGCCATTGCAGCTCATGCCCTAACTGTACCGGCCGACTATTTCCAGCATCACGGCGGCGAGTGTATACGCGAACGATACTCCAGGTTTAGTGCCATAAAAACGAGGCATCACAGATCATAGTGCCGCACTGAAACATCACATCCGCAATGTGCCCATGTGAATTGCTTTTTGGGGATTGTGAGCTCATATTGTTGTCAATCGGGACTTATACGTATGCACGCACGGTTGAGCAACCTCAAACTTGGGTGATTAAACTTATTACTATGTTACTTTATTACTAATAACTAATTAACAAAATGCGTTAACGAAAACAAT